ATGATGCATCTGTCTCTGCCCGGGCCCCTACCTTTGACAGGAAGAATCGAAGAGAATACCACCTGTGCTCCAAACGCCTTCACCCGTACTCCCAGAGCCCTGTAGTCACTCTTGATCTGCTCAGTGTCACATCTCGCAGTATCATTTGTGCCCACATGGATGAGTAGCATGGGGTAGTAGTCAGAGGGCTGGATAATCCTCGACAATGCCTCCGTAACATTTCGGATACAGACCCCCAGCAGGCAGCATACCTCCTGAGATGGGCGCCTCCGTCCCCCTTAGCAGAGAGTCTCTGACCACCACTACCCTACATTTCCTATTTGCAGTGGTGGCAGCAGACCTCCCAGCCTTAGGGGTACGAGACTTCTCCTCCTTTACTGTAGGGGGTGATTCCTTCTCTCCTGTATCAAGAAGAGCATAATGGTTACCTATTACCACGGCGGGAGGGTTCGGAGCAGGGATGGAGCACTGCCTGCTGCCAGAAGTAACCAGCTGCCAGTGTCCACCCTGAGCCATCTCCTCCTCCACCACTGGTATATCAGCACTCCTGTGTACTGGGACAGCTACCTCAGCTGTCTCCACGTGGACATTGTCCAGTAATTGCTCGTGGATTCGGATGCTCTTCAACCTAGTCACCTCCTCCTGTAGCTCTCCCACCTGTTGCCTGAGAGATTCCATCAGCAGGCACCTTTCACATTGGATGGTCCCCCCAGCCTGGATATCAGTAAGTGGAAATTGCAAGTTACAGTCTCTGCAAAACCACACCAGGATCTGGGTAGAAGCATCCATGCTCAGGCGCTCTGTCTGGTTACAGGCGCAGGTGGAGGAGACAGAAGCAGCGCTGGCACAGGTCTTCCTAACCATCGTAAGTCTCCCTCTGTCAAACTCCCCCTCAAACTCCCCTGTCTGCAGCCCCCTGTCCGCTGAAAGGGTTGTTTAAGCAAGAAGTTTTGAATGTAGTTGGTTTATAGGTTTTAACGGGAATAAAGGGAAAACAGATAGAACTGGCAAGGGACCCTCGCTCCCTTCTCAATCCCTTCCCAAACTCCCTTGCGAAACTCCGTTAGCAGCCCCTGTTCGCAAAAGCTCCCTGTTCGCTTGTGCGCTGCTTTATAAAGCCGTGGCCTGTATGAACGCCCCGCCCATTGATTAAGGCTCAGCCAATTACCAGAGGCTTCTAGCTTTCAGACCTTCCTTTGAAGCTCACAGCTTCCAACTGCCAGCCACAGCACACGGTCCTTCAAACAACTAAACAAACAAACAGGCTGACAAACACAAGCTCAGCACACAGCAAGTAACCCACAAACACACACTACAGACAGTCACTTACCCCAAGGGTGCTGTATTGCTCCTCCTTCACCTGGAGAACTCCCTTGCAAAACTCCCTGTTAGCAGCCCGTTCGCAAAAGCGAAAATATATTGATGTTGCAACATTAGTCATCTATAATTCATTTAGTACAAAAATGGATTATTGTAGTGAAAATAAGTGTATCAAGCCTTGGTTCAGGAACCAATCCCCACTTCGTAACATTGATTCCTATGGGAAAAACGGTTTTGACTTACAACGCAATTTTGAGGAACGAATTGTGTCGCTAAGTCCAAAGACTCCGTCGAAGCCAGCATTCCCCAGGGACACCATTTAGGGAGGCATGATGGAGGGCATCAGACTCAGTATCTACAACGTGGTTCAACGTGCTCCCTCCTGCTCAGGTCATTGTGTCCTGGACCTGCCCTAACTACCATTTTTCTATTTGAGTGTATATATATCATGCTCATCACTGTGAATACAGAACAATTGAAGGGGAAGGAAGATAAGACTTTCCTTAGTTGTCTCCAAGCAGGGTTCTGATGTATATGAAGCAGTCTGTAGGAATAAGCTATTATTCTGAATCCCAGGAAGTATAGCACTAAGATAGTGACCAGACATGGTCCTTAATTGGCCAACTGTCCATTTTAAGGTACACGTGGATATGAATTTTGGCTCCCATTTTCCATGATGGCCAAACTACATTCAGATGTAGTGGAGAGTGGCAGCTTAAGGAGTGAGCTGTGGCTCACTGATCCCCAACAGCCCAGCTGTGGCAGAAGTTAAACCAGTAGAGGAACAGAGATCTGCAGTGGACAATCATGCACAGTGGAGCTCAGCTGAGAGAAGGGAAGAGGAAGGTGCTAGCAGACAATGCTGCTAGACTTATGCCACCAGCTTTATACTCCCTACACAAGGGGAATTCCTGAAGAGAAATCTCCAGGTGGTTTAAGTTCCCTTTGTTCCACATGAGAAAAACAAACAAACAAAAATCTAGTGAGATATTCTGTACCTTGGGGAAGCACCCTGTAACCCCCATATTTCACATGTATAGATTATAGTGATCTTGCATATAGAGCATGCCATGTGAAGTATCAAGAGAAAGGTTATGATCTGCTGAAAGTCATTTCTCTATCCGTCTATGTGTATTGATGCATATGAGGTTATGAGAATTGTGTTGTATGGTGGTCACTAAAGCATGCTGTAAGTTGGGGAATCAGACAGATACTCAGATAATCAGACAGGTGGGGTGTCAATCAACTCATCAACAACTATTGTCCAGCAAGGGAGCTACAATGCAATGACTCACCTGCATGAGGCCACAGCAGGGGAATTGCTTAACCTTGCCTGGAGACTCAGCAATGCACCCCTTGTGTTTTCCAAGCACATGGACTGAGGGTATAAAACACACACAGTGGCCCCATGCTGGGCCTTTCTCCTTCACCCACCTATGCCGCAAGCAACAAAGACACTCTGAAGACTTGAACTGAGGGGACTGACCCAGATTTCAAGGGTGAAATCTGCATATTAAGGACTGCAATATCCAGTGGGGCGAGAAAAACTGCTTAGTCTAGTTATTGTCCAGTCCAATAGGGTTGAGAGTTTAGACTGCTTATATTTTATTTTATTTTGCTAACACACACTGACTTTTGGCCTATCACTTAAAATCTATCTTTCATAGTCAATACATTTGTTCTACTGTTTATCTTTACCAGTGAGTTTGTATGAAGTTGGCAGATCTGCTCAGGCTTTGCAAAGGCGGATGTATGTCCACTTTCTATTGATGAAGTGGTGAACCAATTAATAAATCTGCTGCTCATCTTGAACAGTGCAAGACAGTATATTCCTGAGGTGCAAGGCTGGGAGTTAGGGGGATCTGGCTGGTGCCTTTCTTTATGTGATTCATGAGTGGCTCTGGGAGCATTCATGCAATCTAGCTGGGTGTTGGGTCTCCACATGCGGTTGTGCTGAGTGATAATAGCACCTGGAGGGGTTTGCTGCTGGTCACTAGCAAGGCATTTTGAGAGACAGCCCAGGCTGGAGAGAGTTCAGGGGGCACAGTGGTCCCACAGTCCCAGGATGCACCCCAGGTATCCCGTCACATCTAGCCTTTTATGTAAATACACCACGTTGACAACAAAGTGTCTTGTAAGTAAATAGGATGCCCAAAGGGTCAGACTTTGAATAAGTAGTAATGTTCTTCTGTGTCCTAAGACCAAGAATGCATAAATATATCTTCCTCTGGAAGAAGTGAAATTGTTTCCAGACACACAATCTTCAGTTCTTGACTAGGTAGTTTATTTCTGAGATGATGATGGGTGGAAGCTTTTTTTTTTTTGAATCAAGCAAACACATTGGTGTAAATGTTTTTTCAGTTAGAGTAGTACAGGCTTAACGGAATTATTTGCAATGATGAGCTGTTTTTTCCCCACTTCATTTGTTCCTAGTACTAAGAACATACTTGATGTGGGAATCTGGAGTAGTTTTCAATAAGCCACATTTTGTAATCCCAACCACTTTTGTGAGGGTTTTGTGATTTATAACTATTTAGGAACCAGGAGATTGTGAGAGGGACACTAGGGTTCTCTTACTTAGGCTTTGTCTACACTAAACCCCCAAAT